AAGCGCACCTTGAGCACCCCCGCCTCGCCGCCCGCCCGCGAGGCCGAGACCGCCGCCGGTGCTGACGGTGCTTGTGCAGGCGCAGTCGCCGCAGCCTTTGCGGCCCGCTGTTCTGCCGCGGCCGCGGCGGCGTTGGCGGCGGCACTGCGGGCGGGATTGGCGCACGTGGTGGCAAAGACGGACGAGGGTAGTCCACCCGGGGCGATCAGGTGCAGGAGGACGGCGCCGTCCGTTGCCTCGCCGATTGTTCGAGTCCGGTGTGCCGTGAGGTCGTCTCCAGCGCAAAGGAGGCGGAGGGAGCCCTCGAGGATGGCCGGGTCGGCGGGCGGCGCCAGCTGTGCGAGTGCCATCACCCTGCGCAGCAGCTCGCCCACAGTCGCCGACCGGGCGATCTCGACCTCCACAGAGGCTCGCGCCGCCCCAAAAAGAGCCCCAGTCATGACGGTGAGACGCAGCGGCGGCTGCAGTGCATCCGCAGCGGAAGCGCCCCACAGCGGCGCCGCGCCAAACTGTCGGGCACCCGTGGTCGAGAAGGGATTGGTCATATATGGACAGGCGACGATGGACAGGCGACGAGCACGAGGTGGCCTGGGCAAAGACGCCCAGCCCCCACCGCACGAGCAGTGGGCGGCTCCTTCCAGACAGGGACCCTAACCCACACGTGCTCTCCTCCGTGCGTCGCCGGCCGGCGAGATTGCTAGAGGCGGAGCAGTCTGCTCTAGTCTCACACGTTACCCCCTGTCGCCTGTCTGCGTTGTTTGTTGTGCTGTTCAGGTTTGTGCCCTTTTCGCCCAGCAGCACACGCTTACCATGCCGCCGAGCAACTGCGAGCGAAGAGAGGACTGTGATCGTACTTGTCTCCTTGTGCGCGAACCGCATCCTCGTCCTCGCAAAGGTACAGTTGTAACCGACGCTTGTTTGTCAACGACATGGAGGGCCGGGTCGCCTGGCTACGGGACAGGTTGACGGCGGGGCTGGGGGTGAACCCCGACGCGTTCGACCGCCTGCTGCAGGGCGATAACGCCCGCAACCTCGTTGCGGTGCTGCTCGATGGCCAGATCGACGACGGCGATGCTCTGCCGACGCTGCTCTTCTACAGGGCGTGATGCTCTCGACACCCGACAAGATGTCCGAGTGCAAGCACATCGTGCGGGTAATGCGCCACGAGATGTACCGCGTCTTTTACGACCGCCTGGTCGACGACGCCGACAAGGGCTTTGTCGGCGACAAGATCTCCAAGGCGATCAAGGCGTCCTTCTCTTCTGAGGCGGAGGAGGCGCTGCGCGAGCCGTGCCTCTTCGGTGACCTCCTAAACTACCACGAGGTAGAGGAGGAGCGCAGTGCCGGCGGCGGCGAGGAAGTGCGCCTGTACGAGGACTTGCAGGACTTCGAGCGCTTCAAGCCGGTCTTGGAGGGGGTGCTCGAAAAGTACAATGGCGTGCACAAGCCGATGAACCTCGTCCTCTTTGACGACTGCCTCGGGCACCTCGTGCGTGTGCATCGGCTCATGCGGCTGCCGCGCGGCAACGCGCTCCTGGTGGGCGTCGGCGGCTCGGGCAAGCAGTCCATCACGCGGCTGGCGGCTTACACCGCCGATGCCGACGTCTTTTCGATCACGCTCACGCGCGGTTACAACGAGGCGCTGTTCCGGGACGACCTCAAGCAGCTGTACAGTAAGCTGCAGACCCAACCGACGGCCTTCCTCTTCACCGACGGGCACGTGGCGGAGGAGGGCTTCCTCGAGCTCATCAACAATATGCTCACCGCCGGCATGGTGCCCGCGCTATTTGAGGAGTCTGAGAAGGACGGCATCGTCAACTCGATCCGGGACGAGGCGGTGAAGAAGGGCGGGGCTGTCGATACCAAAGACTCCATCTGGCAGTACTTCATCGGCAAGTGCCGCGACAACCTGCACGTGGTCTTAGCCATGTCGCCTGTCGGCGAGCAGCTGCGAGTCCGGTGCCGATCTTTCCCGGGAATGGTGAACAATACCGTGATCGACTGGTTCGTGCCGTGGCCTGAGGCGGCCCTCGAGTCCGTCGCCGGCGTCTTTTTGGCTGAGGAGGACCTGCCCGACCCATCGCGCCGGCCCATTGTCGAGCACATGGTGATGGTGCACCAGATGGTGCGCACTCAGTCGGAGGAATTTTTGCAGCAGCTCAAGCGGTACAACTACGTCACGCCCAAGAACTCCATCCGCCATCACACATGGATTTTATGGGGTTTCCGTTTTCTTTCTCCATGTAAAGAAAAAGAAAACAGACACGCCAAGGGAGGGGCGGCACGCCGCCACCACACACACGCAGGGATTTTAAGTGTGGTGCGCTAGCCGTCGCCCACCCTAGGGAGTCTGCCTCTTCCTATCTCTCTTAAAAGAAAGAAAACATAGAACCCAAGGGAGGGATGGGAGAACGGCACGCCGCCACCACACAGGGATTTTTTCCTATCTCTCTTCCATGTCGTGCGAGAACGGCTAATATTCTTTTTCTCGCGATGTCCACCCC